CCACGAAAGCTATCCACAGCGATTGGTTCCACTCCTCACATCCTTCAGCGAGTAGCGTGAGTGCGAGTAAATGGTCAACTGTCGAATACCTCTTCCGGTATGCCGCCTGGTCCGGGCTCTGCGCAGAAACAGTTGCTGGTTGGAGTCTGTCGCACAACGCCCGGGCAAACAATTTGTACAGGATTGGCAATATAGCTATGGATCTATAGTTCTTTGGAAGTAAAGGGTCTCCTTTTTTGAATAATACAACAAGCCGCGTTCTCGTCCACGTTTCCGGCAGCGCCGCACCCGGCTGCGTCACGTCGTTGAACAAATCGAGAACAGCACGGCGGAAAATGGCCTTGGACGCCTTCAGCATTTCCGCAACCACTCCAGACTCGTCTTTGCATTTGCCACATTTTAAAGCTTTTAATGCCTCGTCTAATTCCTCCAGAGTGAAAGGCGGAATTGCTTCTGCAGCAGAGTTGTGAGTGTTCCTTGCACTGCTCCTGCCGGTGTAGAGCTTCTCGTAAAAGCAAGCGAACACCTCTGAAATACTGCTTCGATCTACGTGCTGAACGCCAGCGCCATCTGTGATGGCTGCGATGTGATGTTTCTTCACGGGCCCTCCCACCCCAGCGAGCCCCGATATGCCTCGGAAGTCTGTCAGAATTCTGCCGATGCGTGCCTCCCGCGTTTCTTTCAGCCTGCGTTGAATGAGTTTCTTGATGCTTTTGCTTATCTCCAGCCGTCGTTTCTTCTTCCCTTCAGCGTTCAAGTCCTCCCTTCTCCGCAGGCCTCGCCGCTCGGCAATCAAAGACTTGAGCTCCTTGTGAATGTCGTTGGACGTTCGCGCCCTGGCCGGTACAGGAAGGACTTCCCCCAGCGCGCTCACCATGCATCTTTCCATCTGTTCCGCTTTCTCAGAAGATGTGATTCCTCTTGTCCGCTCACGCTCGAACTTCGCATCCAAAGTCTCGCCGTACAATTTGGTATCAACTGCCGAACTCCAAGTGCAATGCCTCTTCCGCGCGAGAACTGTCTCCGGCGGGCGCACAGACATGCGTAGCTCGACGGGTCTGTGGTCAGAGCCGGTGTCCAACCATTGGCACACCCTGCAGAAAACCATATCAGAAGCCATCCTGGAATCTAATAAGATATAATCCAGCTGCTTTTTTAAATTCTGATTCGAGTACGTCCACAATCCAGTTGGGGGAGGGGCAGTGCGTTGTCGAATCGGGTTCGGACCGATGATGTCCTGTTCGCCTTCTCCGCCCACTTCTGCGTTGAAGTCCCCGGCAACCAAACATTTGGGTTTCGTGCAAAATTCTGGGCATAGGAAACCATCCAATATCGAATATACAGCTTCCACATAAGCATCTTCAATCCGTGAGTGTGGCATGTATACACCAAAAACTCTGATATTCATATCGTTTACGACCAGATCCAAAACTGCAACACGGTCACAAACTGCACTGAAAGATGTGTAATTCCATTTCTTGTTTACCAAAATGCCGACACCGTTCTTTCCTTTGCTTCCGCCGCTCCCGAACCACATGTGGCCGCCCTCCGTGGTGAACACCTCCTTGGTCTCTTCGCGCCACGTCTCTGTGAAGACGATGACATCCCAACTTCGACTTTTGAGCTCGCAGAACAACGCCTCAAGCCTTTGCTCGAACATCATGAAAGAATGTATGTTGTAAGTGATACTTGTAAGAGACATGCTGCAAGAACGAGAAGACCTTGTTGATGACGATTTCCTTGTACGGGTACTATGGGGCACGCTGTCTCTCTGCCCCTACTCGCGGGACCTCGTGGTCCTCTCTCGCTTTTTCTTCCATGATTTGATGTCGGACTCCACGAGCTCCTTCACGCTCTCCGCCACGCCCTCCAGAATCATGCCGGACGCGTCGTTCACCCAGGCGACCTTCTTGGAGTTCACGCTGACCGTGCCCTTCTTCCAATTGATGGTGACATTCTCTCTGGCCTGGCCCTGGTCGTTTATGACGTGGTGTTTGATGAGTCCTAGGGTTTTGTCCCGGATGCGCTCCTCAAATGTCCTGTTGTTCGTAAACCACAAATCAACCCCATCAGTCGTCGTTTTCTGTGCATCTCTGATTTTCCTGTAGAAGCCGATTTTCGCAGCGACCGAATCGAATTGAATGCAACCGACGCTGGAGGGGTCGCTGAAAGTAGAAACCTTTTGGACTTTGTGGCGCCTCGAATCCACCTTCAGGAAATCCTCGATGGCCGAAACGATGTCTTCCGCATCAGTGTCCCGCTGGAACCCCCCCACGATGACCTGCAAGTCCCTCTGGATGCCATCGTCCTCCTCCCCGTCCTCCTTCTCCTCCTTCCCCTCGAACGTCTTGCCCTCCTCCCGCATCTTATCCAAAAACTCCCTGACCTCCGATGCAACGATGAGCTCCATTGTGTTCTGCATCTCCTCCTTTGTTACGTATAATCCCTCCACCTCCTTCCGGAAATTGTGCAAGTCTGATTCGAGATCGGCGCACTTCTCCTGAGTCTCCTCCGCCACCTCCTTCGCCTCCTCCGCCTTCTTCCTCACCTCCTTCATCAGGGTACGCATCTGGCCGAACTGATTTTCGATCCTCTCGAACTTCTTATTTTGGCGCTCCTCGAACCTCTGGAGCCACGGGGGATCCCCATCTTCCGTAGGTGCCACCATCACCTCCATGAGGTCCTCCTCCGAATCGTCCCCGATAGTTTGGATCTTCTTTTTTGGCTTCTCCGGTGTGAGTCCAGAAGAAGCCGGACCACGCTTCGAACCTGTACCCGACATTCCGCCTGATTCCAAATTGCAACACGCTGGCACGCAATAAGACAGACTGATATGAATGCAGACAGGGTTTGGAAAAGCCCAGATGGATACTTGAGCCCAAACAGTGTTTGTATTCAAGGTTTCTCATGTTTGTTCTAAGGAATTGGGCTGGTGTGGCGGTCTGGTGGCCATGGTGACGCTGTCGCCGCCCCGTCGCCGCCTCGTCGCCGCCCGTCAGCTGGGCCGGTGTGGCGGTCTGGCGGTTATTTTCCCGCCGTCGCCCCCCCGTCGCCGCCATGTCGCCGCCCGTCGCATGGGCCGGAGTGGTGGTCTGGCGGCTATGTTGCCGCCGTCGCCGCCCCGTCACCGCCTAGTCGTTGCTCGTCGTCTGGGCCGGTGCGGCGGTCGTGCGGCTGAGTTGTCGCCGTCGCTGGCCCGTCGCCGAAGCCTCGCCGCATAGATTGCGCGCCACATATACTGCACCACATAGATTGGCACCACACAGACTGCACCAAGTAGATTGCACAACATAGATTGCACATCATAGATTGCATAAATTGTTTTTGCACCACAGATTGCACCACATAGCCCGCACACCATTGACTGCCCAACATACATTGCACACTATGTATTGCACAACGTCGTTTCTCCTGTCTGAAAAATAATAGGATCCTCCCCTTGACTTTACGATTCCCTTTTTCGTATTGCAATTTACAAATGAGTATCCCCAATCGTCCATCCGAAATATGAACTCGTACCATCCCAGGCAGGCCGGTATCGGCACCGCCCTCATCCTTTGCAAAAGAATACTAAGCGCGCATTCGTTTATCAAAAATCATCGTTCGACCTCGTTCCAAAACTTGCACCATCAACGCGAGGACGCTGTCATCGTCGTCGGCGTGATCAGCATCGGTACCGTCACTGGCCTTGCCGTCGTCGTTGTCACCATCGTCATTAACATCGCCACTATCATCATCGTGTCTACAGTAGTCGACGTTGCCATCATTCCGCGCCCGCCCAAGTCGCCGACTCGCATTGAAGTGCCCGCTGGGAGATGCCCCGCGGCCGCGTCGGTCGCGCCAAACTAGCTGGCCGTGGCGCGCGCAAGCATGCGCGGTCTAGCGCGGCCGCGGAGATGCACCAACCAACACCAAGCATTCATTGCAATCGCCGCCTTATGGGCCTATGCAAACCAAGTTGCGGGTTGATTTGTGGGATGATTGCGTGAGCAATGGAGTTGACAACTCACTTCGACCAGAAAGTAAATGCACAACGTAAAATGCACCGCCAATATTATTTCCGCATCGATTCCATAACATGGATGGTATCTCGTAGATCGCACCACATAAGTTGCTCGGCATAGATTGCACCACACAGGTCGCACAACATACATTGACCTATATATATAAATATACATATATGTATATATATATGTATGTTGCACACCATGCATCGCACACCATAAAGTGCACCACATGCATTGCCACAGAGATTTATCCACAATTATTGACCCACGTAGATCGCGACACATGGACCGCTCAGCATGGGTTGCATCACATAGATCGCACAACATAGACATACAAACACATATTGCACACCATGCATGTCGCGCCATGCATTGGCCCACAGACACTGCAGACCATATATTGCACCACAAACATAGACTTACTCACATGACCACCTAGCTCCACGTAGTTTGCTCCACGCATACTGCTGAACCTCGCAGGTCTCACCACACGTACTTCACAAAATCGATTGCACATCATAGATTACATTGTGTATATATATATAGATGTATATAGATATTGCACAACAGATACTGCTAGAGATTCCGCCGTTTGGGGTCCACGCTGACTGACGAATCTTTCATATACCAGGAACCTGGCCCTGAGGGGGCCCGGACCGAAGACCACTAGGGAGCCTGGATGGATGCCTGGGGCCTCCCCAGAGTTTCTTCGGCTCCCCCCCACCGAGTTTCCGGGTAGGTTCCAAATAAGTAACACACGGGCCAAGATGGTTTTGGACGGCCCCAGATGGCGTCAAGACGGCGCAAGAGGCCCCCAAGACGCCCTAAAACGACACCAACAGGATTCCCAAGAAGGTCCGAAAAGACAAGCGTTGCCACATTCTTGTTAGGAAAACGCGCGTTTCTAGCAAATTCGTTTTTGGTTTTCGCAGCGTCCAAGACAGCCCAAGACAGCCCAAGAGACCCCCAAGAGAGCCCCAAGACGGTCCGTAGCCACTTGGGCTGAAGATTTTTTACCTCAGGCCAGTTGCGCTCAAGAGCAGCATCTCGTTTTCGGCTGCAACGCGCGGGGCCCAGATCATGGCCATGCCGAGTGGCATCTCCGCCACAGCGCCCACGAAGCAGGATCTCGGGGACGCGGCGACAAGGGACAAGCGGCAGAGCTCACGCAGTCTTTCCCGGTCCGGCGAACCCTGCAGCGAGCGTCTTTCGAGCCACAGCGCGGTCTTCGACGCCGACCGCGTCAGCACTGCTTGGGTATCGACGCGCATGGGAGAGGCCTGGGTATCGAACAGCCAGGAGGAGACCACGAGTTATAGCCTCGACCAGTGGCGCTTGTCAGCCGCCGCGGAGGCCATCGGCGATGTCCCCGAGCAGCTGGGCAGAGTGGTCCAGAATAAGGCTAAGAGCCTTGCCGAGAGCGTGAAGACCGAGCTGGCCTTAGTGCAAAAGGCCATTCGCAGCAGGGGTGGGTGCGAAGATAGCGTCGACGCAGCCATCGATCATCTCGGCAAAATCCCAGAGATCATCAGGAGGTCGTTTGGCTCGAGGATCATGGGGGCGAGCGGCGCGATGCGGCTGGCGATGCGGCTGAAGCGGAGCGCCATCGTGCAGGTGTTCAAGAGCACTACCCCTGGTGGCCAAGAACTGGTTAGGCGGTTGTGGACCATTCCCAAGAAGCTGGAGCAGATCGTTGGGCAGGCGCTTGGCCAGGCCGTGGAAGAGTCCCACTTGGAGGTTACCAGGCGCTGCGAGCGCGTGCTGATGAGCCTGCCGCCAGACGCGGGTGTGTGTCGCCATGCCCTGATAGACGCCGAACTACGCATCGCGGAGGCGGTGACCGAAATGTATTCCGAGACGATGCGGGCCCTCAGGCGCACGGCCAATGCTAACGTGAGGCTCGCCGTGACCTACGTGCAAGATCCATGAAGACCCCCGCCGTATCTCAGTCCGTGAATCTGCCCCGCGGCCCGTTCGGCTCAGAAGAGCGGCAGCTGTGGAATCGCTGCCCGCGCCCGCGGAGTCAGGTCGGTCGAGAGAACAGCAGGACAAGGCAATTCATGGTGTGTTGACTCCAGCGCCTCCACTGGACTGTGCAACTTACGAGTCACGTGCGTTCACTTGTTGGCGCGCGCGCTGGCCTTTCAGAGCCCGCATCGTCAATGTGGGAGGGGAATGGGAGGCATACGGTCTGCTGCTGCGCCTGAATACCTAAAGTTGTGGAGCGCGAGGTCTTTGCCATGCCGTGGCAGAGATCTCCGATCCATAGTTTTGCAGTGGAGGGTTTCGCTGTCTATCTCTGCGCTTCGAGTCTAGCAGACACAGACGCGGGTTCGTCTCCTCGCTCTTTTCGGCATGATGGGTCTGGCTTATGTAGGCCAGGCCCAGGGGAGTCGTCAGCCCTTCCCACATCAGGATCATGTGATGTGTCGCCGCGTGTTGTTTCCGTCCAGGGGATCGCAGGTACGACAGACGCATGACGTTCAGATGCTGACCCATGATGCAGGCGTAGTGTAGCGATCTTTTTGTCAGCCGTTGGATCCAGCGCGGAAAACACGCAGCGCCCATTGCCAGTGATCCACTTGTTCCTTGTCTGGCCGTTGCGTGGCTTCGACGTGGCGCCCTATTTGCTTCAGATACTGCGTCTTCGCCCCTCGTCGTGCCGCGGTCCAGTGCCACTAGTGGTTTACACCTCTGGTGGTTGTGGCCGTTTGAGAGATGCGTCGGGGCAGCTGGATGTAGAACAGCGCGGCGTTTACAGCTTGTGGGGACTCAAACGGTGGGCTCTAGCAAGCTCTGTGAGCACTCGATGCGGCGCCATCTGGAGCTAGAGGGTACACTGAAGTCGGGCCTGCCCCTCTACAGGAGGAATGTTCAAACATAGGTATTAAGTATGGGGACGAGGTCTGTAGTATTGCTGAGTATTTGGGAGTATGGTTGGGGTACTCTTGATTTTTCGCCCAAAATCCCCCTGTAGGGGGACAGGCCCGACCTAAGGGCACGCTCTTTTGCGCTGCACTTCAGAGGGGGGAGCGGCAGCAGCGGGAGGGGGCGGGCTTGAGGAGAGGACCTGCCCGGGGGCAGGGCATTATTTGGTGAGGAAGGCGTCCCCGCGGTGCCTTGGACGGCACCTTCCCTACCCAGCGAAAGTCACACATAAGCAGGTGGGTAGATTTACAGGTGATCTCCGCTTGCGCACAGCTCGGCATGCCGATGTTCAGAAGTTGGTGGTTCTGTCCCCTCCCTCCTGCTCCCCCCTCCCCCTCCTGCCCCCTCCTGCCCCTCCCCCGCCTCCCCCCTCCTCCCCCCCCCCCTCCTGCCCCCTTCTGCTCCTCCCTCCCCCCTCCTGCCTCCTCCCCGTCTTTCCCCCTGCCTTCACTGTGTGAGCGCGCTCCGCAGCGAGGGTCTGTCAGCACGTCCATCGATATAGGCGCCTCGCGCCTGGGCGTGTATCAGGGCTGGCAGAGGCTGAGTTGTGGGTGACGTCCGCCTGCGCACAGCCCAAACAATCTTTATTCGTTCTCGGGACTTGCTTCTCCTCTCTGGTGGATGTTCTTGGACACGTTGTGCTTCGGGCATGCTCACGGATGGATGTTCTTGGACACGTTGTGTTCTCCTCACGGGTCATGTATTCATTCTCAGGACTTGCTTCTCCTCCCCCCCACGCTCCTCACGGGTGGATGTTCTCGGGCACGTTGTGCTTCGGGCATGGCGTGCGAAGCGGCTGGCGCCAGAACCACGAACAGCCCAACAATCTTTATTTTAATTATTCATTCTCAGGACTTGCTTCTCCTCCCCCCCCCCCCACTCGGGGATGGACAGAACCCCCAACAGTGACACGTCGATTAGTGAATTGTCCGTGTTCGGTTCTCGAGAGGGCGCCGCGGCCGTTGTCTTCCAGGCCTGCGCCCGCCAGGTTTGGGCCTCAGGTCGTTTTCAGAAAACCACGTTTTACTAAAGGGGGGTCTGTCCATCCCCGACCCACGCTCCTCACGGGTGGATGTTCTTGGACACGTTGTGTTTCGGGCATGGCGCGCGAAGCAGCTGGCGCCAGAACCGCCCCACGCCAGATGTGGCAGCAAGGCGGGCTGGCATGGCGCATCCGCGCAACACGCTTCAGCAATATTTATTCACAGTCAGGACTTGTTGATCCTTCCCCCCCCCCACGCTCCTCACGGGTGGATGTTCTTGGACACGTTGTGCTTCGGGCATGGCGTGCGAAGCAGCTGGCGCCAGAACCGCCCTACGCCAGATATGGCAGCAAGGCGGGCTGGCATGGCGCATCCGCGCAACACGCTTCAGCTTGCAGTCCTCCTCGATTACAGCTCCTCCTCCTCCACCCCTCCTCTCCCTCCTCCTGGTGCCATTGAAGCGTACAGTGCCTTGCCTGCTGCATATGGAGCGCCTTCCAGGAAGGGAGCCACGCCTTGCCTCAACCCTTCCTTCCAGCGCACCTTAGACGTGGATGGCGCGCCCGCGTGCTCGCTCCCCGCTCGCTCCTCGTGTCCGTCTTCTCCGCGCTGTCATTTCTGATTGTTTGGCACCAGAGAATTACTCATCGGCGGCGAGCGTGGGGGGGAAGCGAGAAGGGGTGGGCCTTCTCAGAAGGCTCGGAAGGCCCCCGGCCTCCCGAGAAGCTTTCTGAGCCCTCCCCGAAGACACAGAGAATTTCTCAGAAGGCGCGAGGGCCTCCGAGAAGTCCCGCCGCCTTCTGAGAAGGCCTTCTCCGTCTCATTTCCCCCTCTAGCTCGCCGCCAAATTAAGCGGGTCACTCAGTATTCCATTCGCGCACGGGCGCGTCAGATTACCAGGCCGACTTGCAGTTGGATTCCTAAGGAGCTAGTATGTAGCCAGTAGTTGGTGGCTCGTTCTTGTCCCCGCATCGCTCTTTCCAACAGCGACCGCATCGCGTGCAAAAAAAAGAGAGAGAGAGAGAGAAACCCATGGCGGCCTCGCCTCAAACATCAGACGGCCCAAGACGGCCCAAGAGGCACATTTCGAAGCCTCCGCCCTGAGAGGAGCCCGAAGATCGCTAACAGCCCCCAAGGACCCCCCAACAGGACCCAAGAGGCCCAAAAGAGGCCCCGAAAGGCGCCCCAAGAGGCCGCAAAACTGCTTCCGAGAGGCTGCACAGAGGCTTCCTCGGAGAGCCGAACAGGCATTCAGGAGGTCTCAGACCAACAACCCAGGCACGTTCCCTTTCGTTCCCTTTCGTTCCCTGTCGTTCCTTTGCGTTCCCTTTCGTTCCCTTTCGTTCCCCTTCGTTCCCCTTCGTTCCCTTTCGTTCCCTTTCGTCCCCTTTCGTTCGAATGGGCAGAAGGCCATTTGGAGGTGCACACGCGGACGAAGGGCACCGTGGCCCCTCTTCTCTGTCCTCTTCCGGCTCCTCGTCTTCTACGACTCCACGTCCCCTTCTGATCCTGTCCCCCCTTGTCTGGCCCCGTTGGGGCCCTGGGCCAAAGTAAGTGCCTCCTCCCCTCCCAGAGCCCCCTCGGAGCCTTCCTAGAAGTCCCGGATGTCTCACATGGCATCGGACTGTTCCAGGACGGCCCAAGATGGCCTCAAGACGGCCCAAGAGGCCCCCAAGGCGCCGCAAGATGGCTCGAACAGAACCCCTTATCGAGGACCCCGAGCGGCAAAAACCAGCCCATTCCTTTTTGGGAAAACGTGTTTGCTTGGCATATTGTTTTTGGTTGTGCACCAGCGTCCCAGGCCAACGCGCCTCGATCTCCAGCGAAGAACAACGGCTCCCGCTAGTCCGACGTCTGCATGACGATCTAGCCCCGTGCGATCCTGCGGAGGCGGGGGTCCTTCGTGTGCCTTCCTCCTCGGGCACCACCTGCCGCCACCAGCCACTCCTCCTTTGCACAGGTACCCCATGTAGCTCACTTGCTCCCGAAGCTCTTCTCCAGGCTCAGGTGGTGCTCTGGCGTGGGTCCAGGCCGTGGTCGACGTGCCGTGCAGCCACAGGCACGGCTGGAGTTCCATCCGATCCAGGGCGTGCTCCACGCGGTGCCCGGACTTCTGGCGCGCCTCGAGTATGCCACTGCGCTCGCGCCTCCACATCCGATGGTCCCACGTCTCGGCCTCCTCGCCACACCGTGGGCACAACACGTCCTCGATCTGCATGCCAACCCTCTGACGCGGCCACGCTCCGCCCGTCATGATCGCCAGCGGCGCGCCGACTGCGTCGTGCTTACCCTTCTGCTTGAGCCTGCGCGGCAGCCCGCGTGCTGACCGCAGGTCCTCCCTGTTCTCCAGGCCAGCCCCCGCGCAGTGCCGCCGCAGCCCGCTGCCACTTCTCGGTGGCCGCGCCCAGCGCCAGTCTCAGGTCGCGAGTGTCAACGTCGCCTCTCGGACGGGCCTAGAATCGAGACGAGTCCGTTCCAGATCGTTCTGGAACGCCCCCAGAGCGTTCCGAGACGCTCTGAAACGGCCGCGGCGCCCGATGCTATTCCACACCCGCCAACTCCAAGAGATCTCCCATGTATATCGGTCCGGTGTTGTTTCGATTCTGCCTTCGTCATATCCTCGTGCAGCGTGCACACCATCGCCCTCGTGATGCCCGTCACTCCACGCCACCTGAGCTCCACCTCCTTCTTGGCCATGGCGGCGACGATCCTGGGCCGTGTGAGCTTGGCTCTTCGTCCTCGCACCGTCGCCGATGATGTGCATCAGCGAGAAGACGGTGCTGAACGCCGGATCTCGCCTGCCCCTCTCCCGGTCGAGCAGCTTCCCCGCAACCTCGGGGCAGTCCTTGAGGCCAGCCGCCTCCTCCACTTCGTGACCACCGAAGGCGCCGTGCCGGACACCCTGCACGCAGAAGTTGGTAGATCGGGGGTGGACAGAACCCCCAACAGTGACACGTCGATTAGTGAATTGTCCTTTTTCGGTTCTCGAGAGGGCGCCGCGGCCGTTATTTTCCAGGC